TCCTTCCATTAAACACAGAGATTCCATTTGAATTTTAGAATTAGTCTTTGTGGAGTTACTCACTGTAATTGTCTATAAAAATTCCTTAAGATGTCATTTGCATTGAGATTTAATCACCACTTTTCAAATATGAGGCATTCTAGATATTCATTTTATCCTAACTTCATTTTCAAAGTTTTCTCAGTTATTAGGAGTTCATCTACAGCTCTGTTCATCATTCTGGACATCTAACACTTCTTCATTGTCTGATGTCTTACAGTTTCCTACAAATGAGCTGAAACCTGAAGCTTGTACAGTTGCTGCATTGTAACAGAGCAGTTTTGTTCATTTATGTACTTGCAACAACATTCATTTTCTATTGTTGAAGAACAGACATTCCAAACTTTTGCGAATAGAGAATATCTAAGCAATGTTATATATTATGGATGGCACAAAGTAATATTACATAATGCATTATAGATAAAGAGAAAATCCAAATGCCTGTCAAGTTAGAGATGTGATCACCCTAAAAATGTGTTAAATCAAAGAACTTAGACACATTCTCCTGGCTGATGGGTACATATTAAAGGGCTCATATCCTACTGATTTTTTGTTGTTTATTATTTCCCCTGAGATCCAGTTATGATGTGGCTTTATGGACCAAAAACAGTCGTGCTTCATTTTTTACATGACCATTTTCTAACCGTGCTCTCAGGCTGTTGTGCCTTTAAAAAGGTTTATGTAAATGAGCTCTGTTCTGATTGGCTGTCCTGTATTGTGCCTCACTCAAAAAGCACTCTGGGCTGAAGCACTCCTTAAAGCTTCAGCATTGATGGGCGGGGCCACATTGCTGTAGGCTGAGTAGGTGGATATATGTAAATGCAGTTTTTTATGACATCACAAAAACAACAAACTCAAAATTGGCTGTTTTTGAAGCTTAATTTGCATATGTAGACTGTATGGATTGAGGAGTGAACGATACGTTTTGAAACTATACACAGTGTATTAACCCCATAAATGGCCAGGGCCCACCAGCAGGCCCAAAGTTTTATTACACACATCTATAACCTAAGATTAGCTCAGCCAGTTTGTATTAAAGTCCTTGTACTTACTGAGTAATAAGCCTTAGTATGTAATAAACCTGGGATTTTAAGGGTTACACTTATGTGAAAAGGCAAAGACAGTGAGGTTTTCTTTGATATGGGCCATTTAAATCCATAATCTTTAGCATGAGTGAAATCATCATGTTGTGCACAGGTGTTGGTAGTAATGACCTGTTTACACTGAGACCAGTTATGCTGGGTCTCTTACTTAAGTAAAGGCTGCAGTTTGTGCAGAGGTGGGTAGTAACTTACTTGTACTCAGTTACATGAACTCAAGTAAACTTGAATGGGTTTGTACTTTTCTGAGTATTTTAATTATATTCCTTTATGTCTACTTGAGCTTATTTATGAGGGCATAAATCTATTTTTTAGATTTTAGTCATTAACATTTAGTTAGTAATTCTTTTTTTGTGTGCAGCAGCATCTGGATTGCTTTGCTGTTGCTCACGTCTCTGACTTTGGAGCTTCAGCATTTTATTTTAAACTACAAAGATCCAAAAAAGAGTAAAGAATAAACTTCAGCTTTTATGCTGATTGATGCTGGATGTGCTAAGATCCACTACAGTTCTCCTCATAACTTTAGTAGTCTGTGATTTGCTGTGTTTGTATCTTTTTGGTATTTGGTATTTTGGTATTTTGGTATTTTACTCTAGTCATTATTTCACAAATATAACAATACTCTTACTTGGATTCAGGCTTCTCTGCCCACTGCTTGGATTGGTGTAAGAAAAAGGTCAGAGTAAAGGGCAGCCTGTGTCCAGTATCCACATAACAGAGTGAAGTGTGTTTCTGCCACCTGGTGGCTGAAGTTGGCACTGCTAGTTGTTTCCCTCTCCATGTGGCGCTCATCACCAGCTGCACCTGCAGCCTCTTATCATGTTCAAAGCCTGGTGGATATTTTCAGTCTTTTGTATGAGAGAACTTGGGTTATGAATTACAGCACTCATTTAGCATTAGCATTGGTTTTAAATGAGGATTGAATAATTAATGATAACCAGGAGTAAACCAACGACAAAAGGCAATCGTCTTTGAATCATAAAAGCAAAGATTGTCTTTATATAGTCTGTCCTTGCAGAATAAAAGTGCCCTTTTAAAGGTGCAGTATGTAAGATTTAGGGGGATCCTTTAGCTTTTATCTATAAGTGGAATATGGTATATAAAAGCATATTTTTATTAGTGTATAATCATCTGTAACTACGAATCGTTGTGTTTTTCGTTAGCTTAGAATGAGCCCTTCATATCTACATATGGAGCGGGTCCAGAGAACTTAGAGAGGAGATTCGCCACTCTGTAATATCTTCTGGTTTAATCAAACGATAGAGGGCGCTCCCGAGCAAGTCCAAAATGAATGAGTTAAGATGGAGCATTTGTGCAAAATCATAGTTTATAAGTGGTTAAATATTTTTAATGTAAACAAATACATTAATTTCCTGAACACAGAACAGCAGAAAACATTTTAACACTGCTGTTATGTTTTTAAGTGCTTTTGAACTCGAGATATAGGAGTTTAAAACAGCGTCTCTTGTACGTTCACAACGTCAATGAGTACAAACAGCCAACGAGCTGCTCCGCTCGCCAACCAATAAGCACTGAGTAGCAGTAATGCCAGTATTCCACTGCCCAAAACCCCTTTGCTGTAGAAAAAAGGAAATATACAGGTCAGTTTTCTTTGCTTTTTTAGTGAAATACATCCTTCTACTTTTCAAAATTTCTGTTCTGGGCAAGTGATTAGAAACTATGTTTACTGTACATTTTTAGCTGTTTAGCTCCTTTCACCCCTATTCATTGAGGACTCGCTCATGGCTGCCCTCTGGCATTTTGCTGTCCTGATTTTTGATATAACAGGGAAAATAGAAAGAGGCCAGCCTTCTCATAAACCGGCTCTGGCTGGTCCTCTTCCAACAGAGGCCGCCATGTTATGCCACCATGTTTCTACAGTAGCCCAGAACGGACAAACCACTGGCTCTAGAGAGTGCCTGTTGTGTTATTACGCTATCTGCAACCTCACTGCTAAATGCCACCAAATCTTACATACTGCACCTTTAAGAGTTCCTTTAAATGTAATATTTGAATGTAAAATGTTAACAGTGTATTCTGAATGTTAGGGTTTCTAGACTAGGGGTTCCCAGCTTTTTTGTCAGCTGACCCCCTTCAGCCTAATTTGGTAGGCCAACATTAAAGGTTCTGCATATGACATTTTAAACATTAATATAGCAGCAAACAACTATTTTCTATGTAAAGATATAGAGGTGTAATGGCGTCCTGAGCAGAGAATGAAGTCACACCCCCTCTGTGTGTGTCGTAATCCAAGTTTCTCTGTGTTTTATTTTCATAGTCATAGACAAAGACAGTGACCGCCCACACAGCATTCTGTATGCAAGATAGCGGAGTGCGTTAAGAAACATTTCGGTTAAAGTGACCTTCCAAATATTCCACCTATGAATATTCCTTCAAGTTGACAAGGCTTTTAAAAATTCCTCCACTGAGTCTTAGTTGAAGTTGACGAGGCTGAAATTGGCTTCTTATTCACGTTTTCCCATTCCACCTTAAATGGTACAGCGGTTTCATTCTGTACCTGAGGCATCTGAATGTAACTGCTGCACCATTTAGGAAAATTCTAACAAGAAGCTGGCAAATACGAAGCTGACTTCAGCTTTATCGAGAGAGTTGAATGGCATTAAAAGGGATAAGGAGGTTGCCCTGTTTCTGCTTGACAGGTGGGCAACAATAACTTATTTCTGCTGTTTCACAGAATCAGTAGGTCAGTATTGTTTTTGCTAATGTTTGTGATAGCAACTAACAAATAGCAATATTGTTTGCACAAGTTGCACCCAGACTTTAGCAAACAACTTTAAATGCCGCAACAGTTTGCCTGTTTTGTTTCTAAATGTCCTTTAACCCCTTAAATGGCCAGTTTTATTACACACTTCTAAAACTTAAGAATAGCTCAGTTTGCATTGATGCCCCTGTAGTTACTGAATGATAAGCCTTATGGGTTAAAGAAAGGTGACTATCTGTCCATTTTGAGTGATGTTAAGGAGTTGTAAAGACTATGACTGTAATGTTAACTGTAATGTTCTTCAAATTGTCATGTGGTAAAAATGTTTATCACATGACAAAATCCCCCAAAAAAGTAATGAATAGCTACTGTCATGTTTTGTACTCATGGGATGCAGCAGAGTGTTATTATTTGTTGTACTTGTGTTTTTTTAATTGACATATCCATCACAAGAGCTCCCTGCACTGCCACCACAAACCATTGGTTGGGGAAGCCTGTTGTAGACTAAACTAATGTAGAGAATGCAACCAAAGCCTTGTACCTTTTTTCAGGACAAAGACACTTTGATTAAGGATTACAGAAAAAACAGTTTCATCTTTTAAATAATGTGCTGGATTGTGCTTAATATGACTAAGGACGAATTTACAATGGTAACAAAAAGTCTATTTTGATTTCATGTTGTCTTTTTAGGGTCCATATCCTAATGATTCACAATAATAATCCCATAATTCATTTCTGCAAGACAATTTTCCAACCTCTCTTTATCCCTTAGAGTTAATCAGGCTGTTTTGTCACTGTACCTTTAAGACTTTAAGACTCCTAATAACTTTAGTGTGAAAGGGCGGGGCTAAACTGCTGGAGGCTGAATTGGTGGCTACATGTAAATATGTTGGTTTTCATGACATCACAGGCAAATTAAAACTGGGCTGTTTTTGCAGCTTAGTTTCAATATTTGGACCATATGGCCTGGAGAGTTAGTGTTAACATACTACATCACACTTATTTCAAAGTTAAGGATAATTCTGTTTTCCATGATGTGGGCCGTTTCAGAACAGTTTTGACAGGAAACAAGAGATTTGATTATGACTGACATCTTACAGACCTTTTTGCTTATTTTAAATAAAAAGAAATTCAATCAGTTCTGTTTATTTCTTTATTTCATGTTGCCTACATACCAAGATTATCTTTGTGTCTCGTGAGAAAACAAAATGAAACGTGGCTCACAAAATACAGATTTCTTTTTCTCATAATCATATTTTTACAGATAAGTCATTTCATACTGAAAAAATAATGGAATTCATTCTGTTACATATCACGTGAAAAGAAGGTAGCTGATGAGAGATATAAATGTGAAAAACAAAAAAGTTTAAACTTTAACCTCTCTAAATGTGACAAGGAAATAAACCTATATACAATATGCTCCTGAGATTTAGATAGTCTGAGTTGCAACACCTACAGGCAATACCAGAAAACGTAACGTAGTTTCACAGAGCCGTACCCTAACCTGGCACTGAGGGGTTGTTACATGACACTGTTTATGTAGAATCTATGATGCTATAATATGACGGTTAGTATCAATGATGCCTGATCACCTGAAGAAGTGTTGACAGCCATCACAGCATCTTGAAGCCACTGCATGAGAAAATTCCAAGAATTATCAAAGGCAGTTGATGGATCACTTAAGCGTTCCCTCGTGAAACATTCTGTCTTCTGAAATGAACTTTAAATCTTAATGCTTTCTTAACTATGGCACAGATTGAGACCAAACTTGCTTCTCATGATGCTAAAGGCTTTCAGAAACCATGACAATAAATATTTCAATGACAAATTTAATTACTTTACATCATTTGAGAAGATAAAGTCTGTAAAATGTTAAATATGGTCAATTTTGAATATTCACAGATGTCAGTGTTCAGTGGCTGCTGTTGATTTCCTGACATTTTAGCAATATTAATTAAGAGGCCAGCTTGGGGTGCTAAAAGGAGTTTTTTGGAGTGAAGCCATAGAAGAGGGGTGACAGATTGAGTTTCTTCCACGGCTCAGCAGACTTCAGCTTCTGGATTCATTTACCACCCTGATTCAGCTCATCAGCTAATTAGCAAGGCCTTCATGAGCTGAATTCAGACCATTAGCAGAGAGAAAACATTAACCTCTGCAGAGCTGTGGCCCAGAATGAACCCAGTCTGACAGCCCTGTTATGGAAGACCCAGTTTTGGTTCCTTAATTAACATTTCAATGGACGGTTCTTAAAAGAATCGTTTTCGTAAATGAAAAAAGTGTGAGTGAACCTTTTGAAAATGTAATGATTTAATGTCATAACGTAAAGCAGGCGTCACCAAACCTGGTCCTGGAGATCTACCTTCCTGCAGAGCCTAGTTCCAATCACAATCTGCCACACCTGCTCCAGCTAGCTAACGTCTTTTGACTGGCTGGATCATCTGCAGTAGTGCTAGATAAGTGGGGGGCAGCATGTTAGATGCAAGCTGGAACTAAACACTGCAAGCACATTTCCAGGAATAGGGTTGTTGACCGTTGATGTAAAGATTCTATACCAAATAAAGGTTTTTCCTGAAACTAAAAGTGGTTACTACAAGCCAGGAATCACTTAGGAACCTTTATTTTAAGAGTGTATAGTTTCGCAAATGTATGTTTTTCTTTGCAACCAATGAACACTCCATTAAAAAAAAATCCATTAAACCATTAAGACCTCTGACTGGACAATATTCTAATGTAGTGGCTACAAGATCTGGTATTTGTGGTGTTAAGCCCTGGGAACTGGACTGTAAATCACCCTGTTATTTTAGTACCAGTTCTCCATTCACATTGCTTTGAGTTTATGCTCTGTTCAATACAGGTAAACACTCGGATGTAGACTGGTCCTTCTAGTACCAGTTTGGTAGCCATGCTCAACACAGAGAAACAATAAGTCCATGCAAAGTTAGCTGTTGTACCACTGTCCTGTTTTGTTTGCTGTCCTCTGGTGCAAAAGCAGACCCTTATTCTGCACCTCCTGATTATTAATCAAAATATACAAACACATAATCTTTATGGAGCACAACTTTGGTGATACATGGTATTCCTTGCTCCTCTATATTGCTCTGACAATGTACAGACACTTGAATAGATCCTAAACACATGCACAGGAAACATACGCATATGTGCACATACACGCACATGCACCCATATGCACACTGAAGAAAATGACTGACAATAACTTTTTTGTGCAAGGAGAAGGAGTAACACCAGTACAAAGGCAGTAGATGAAGTCTTGTGGAAAGGCTTTTCTGTTCTTTGACTGGAGAACGCAAAATTCTGCTATAATTAACTCAAGGAGTACAAACATAAACTGCAAAAAAAGTCATATTTTCATTCTCATAAAGTAAAGCAGGTTCAACGATCCCAGCTGTTTTTTTGTCCATCTATAAATAACGGCAGAGCTTTTTCCTGCCACCTATTTGCTGAAGCTCCTCCGTGTGCATTTCCTAGCCAGTTTATACACATCCCATGTGGGATGAGACATCATATTCCACTTCTGGTTGTTGAATTGTCTGACAGCTTCCAAGAATTTGCCTCTTTTTTCTGTGGGCATGGTGTTCTGATGTCCATAGCTGTTTTCCTGGCGCTCTAATGTCTGATATGTGCAGATCTCTCTGCTTTAGTGTGTGTTGGTGTCAGGAGTGGAGGCGGAGGCGGATGCGGGGGTTGGTGGGGTGGAGGCTCTGGAGGTGCTGGAGGTTTTCTCCAGGCTGGGACTCTCTGGTGCTTTGGACAGGACGCGGGCGCTCAGGCTGGTTTGGGCCGGTTTGGGCTGGGCCTGCAGGCCAGGGCTGCAGATGAGGTGGTGCCGCTCCCAGTCTTTGTGCTGGCAGAAGGAGCCACAGTAGCGAGCCGCATTACAGCCACTGCACGTCTCGCTGGCCTTGCGTCCACAGTTCCAGCAGCACTGAGAAAGGGGAGAGAGAGGGAGAGAGAAAATCAGCATAAAATAAACCTTGCTGTGAGTCTGCAAATGCATGAGATAGACAGATAGATAGATAGATAGACAGACAGATAGAGAAGAGAAACAGATGCACTATAGTCTCTAATCGCAGAACTAAAATGTGCAACTATTTGCTCAGTGGACCTGATAAAATGAACAAGAAATATAGATAAAAGATAGGTTTACTTAAAGTGGCCAGTGAGTGGAAACTGACTTAAGTCTGGGGACAACTTGCCTTTGAAAACTAATTTCTTTGCTCTTACTTTTCAAATAAGTAGCAAACAAATAAAATATAATATTTTGTTAACAGCGACTTCCTTTCACTATATTTTGAAACACTCAGCTTCATGTTCATCAGAACATTCTCCTCAGTATGAAGAGCAAGTTTTGCTTAAATAACAAGTACCCTGAAGGTTTGAGTGCTGCTGAGTGATGACATTATGACAAGAGGATAAAATGTGTGGGGAATGGCATTAAATCGGGTAGGACTGTCACTAATACTGGTACAAACATTTTCATGTGCGATATTGTTTCCCTTAAATGAAAACCTGGTTAAAACTTAAAATGCTATAAAACCCACAGATAAAGCATGCTTATGTGTAGTAAAACATTTTGAAAAGCTAGGTGTCCCCACACTTTTGACAGGCAGTATATGTACATACACTACTTTATCTTGGCAGTAAGTATATATGTTTCCTGTAAAAAGACCACATATCAAACATAAGAATAAATACTAATAAACTTAAATGCTCTAAACATTAAGATATTTTCTGTTTTCAAAAAAGTTATTAATATGTTAGTTAGAAGAACACAGAAGGACACAGGTTTGGTTCTAGACTTCTCTCTGCACTCTAGCCCTGCTCGGATTTTTGAAATTCCACCAGCAGTGCCTCCTTTGATTTCATGAGGGATTGATTAGATAAACTAGGTACTGCATTGTAATAGCAAATACAGGTAAGGTTTGGAAAGAGATGCATCGCACATGTATTTTTCTTTGTTTATTTGTATTTATTCTAATGTGTTTTTCAAACAAATAAATGCCTACTGTCCAGATAAACAGCTTCAGATCTTATTCTCCCGGTTTTCCGACTGTTTCACAGTACTGGACATACATACATATGTAGACAAATAGATGTACAGAGAGACAGGCAGGCAGGCAAACACACAGGTATACAGACAGACGGATAGACAGATCAACAGACTCACTCACCTCACTGGAGTCCTCCTGCTCGTTGATGACCTGAATGGCGTCCTCTGTGGCTTTCCTCTTGGCCTCGGCAAGGGTTTTCTCCATCTTGGCTCTTTCTGCTGCAATCATCTCAAAAGCCTTCTGCTCTGCCTCTGCCACGGCTTTCTGCACCTCATCCATCGCCTGCCGCTTCACCTCGTTCACTGCTTCCTCTAAGGGGGTCAAACGATGGGCAAAGATTAAAAGTTGTGCAGTGAGCCATGTCAAAAATAAATAAATAAAATCTCTCTGCATTAAAATACATTAAAATACACATAATTAAATGACTGGTATAATAAATAATTCACCAATTTACACCCTACAATAAGGAAATCTGACACAGTAGCCAAACTGTTTGACCAATTTTGATTTTGTTTGCAGATTTGTGCTTAGTGAAGCTCCAAGAACCACTGTAGTAAAAGAAATGTACAAACTTCCAGTGTGGACGTAAATGGGTTACATGATGAACACAAACGGAATACATTTATTTTTTCTGTCCTTTTGATATAATGTTTCTGTTCTAGAAATAAATGAAGCACTAGCACTAAAAAAAAGTCAAATGCTTATAGAGATGTAATATTGAAAGTGAGGAACAGGTGTATGGGGGGGGTAGTAAACAGGTTTCCCAGGGTGCAACTGGGTTGCCGCCCTTACCAGCTTTCCTCCAGATCTCATCAGGCACGTATCCAGGAGCAGCACGCAGAGAGAGCTCCCGCTGAGGATCTGAGACACAGAGAGAGAGAAAATCAGTCTGTTTAATTCTCTATAAAGAGAGGTTGGCATGTAAAAATGAATGACACCGTTTTTGACACATAAATTCTCACAAACATTTTAAGTGGACCTCGGGGGAGGGCAGTGGATATAGTATAACACTAGACAAGGATACGGGCCCTTTAGTTTGATTCACTGAAGGCTAATCTTGAAAAACAAGATCTAGTTCAATTCCATTTTCTAGTTCCATTTATATTTGTATTTTTCCCCTTCTGATTTGTTCTTGTATGAATTACTTTGGCAAAATGTGACTTAACACGCATGCCAATAAAGCCCTGCTGAACTTGTACCAGAGAGAGACGAAGAGAGAGAGAGAGAGAGAGAGAGAGAGAGAGAGAGAGAGAGAATATAGAGAGAGAGGGAGATGTAGGGGTCAGCAGTGATCAGTAGTGAAGAAGACGACTTGGTTTTGGGCAGGAGTTGATCACAGATGGCAGTGGTGAGTGGGAGCCAGAGCTGCGCCCTCAAACAACACACACTCCTACTGTAGCAGCCTGGACACGAGCGAGCAGCACCTGCTCACTCAGCAGGCACGCAGGCAGGCACACACACGCGCACACACGCATACACACACCCTTGTGGCCATTAGTCAGAGCTGCCAGGCAATGAGAGCTCTGCTGTAATACCTCTGATCACCTCAAGGGGGTGCACTCAAATCAGTCACTCCTAAGGCAGCCAAAAACAGCTCTGTACCCATTTAACTAAAGCGCAGATTTACCCTACTGTTCAAAATTCCAGAGCTTCTTGCCATATCAATGTTTTATTTATTTATTCCATATTGTTACTGTCCCATTTCTGCTTTTTCTTAAGCAATTCGAAAACATCAACTGTACTTTACATTATGTCAAAATTTCATGGTGAATGGACCAATAGAAATGCTCCAGAATAACTTGGACTAAAATATTTTTACATTAACTTCCATTGAAAGTTATGAATGTTTTTTTCTTGTCCTGAAAAGTTACCTTATAATCTACACACCAAAAGCAATTTTAGATGCTTTATTCAACGTTTTCAGTATGTGGAGACAACAAGAGGTTATTAAATGATAAATAATATGAATTACCATGTAAATTCAGGTAAACTAGTTTCATTACTTCTTGAAAAGTAATGAAACCTGAAGGAAACTTGTCTGCTCTGAGCCAGTTCTCTGGAAGAGAATCAGGCGTCTGACTCACCAGAGCTGACTCCCTCAGCAGACAGAGGGCTGTGTGTTTTGGAGAACGGCGCCGTCCCGGGAGCTGCTGTGCTCTTGTGCGCACCCTCCTGCTGGCTGGAGCGCCGTCTCCAGTAATTCAGCTCCTCACGGTCAGATTCTTGACAGCGGCGCAGGACGCTGACCGAACGCCTCGTCTTTTCCACCATGTCCACGATGCAGTTCAGCACCTGGAACCATCAAACGTTTCTTTAGAGAATAATGTGGATCCTTTTCTCTTCAGCTGCAGATGACTTATTTTTTAAGCCTTTGAACAGCTGCATTATTTAGTTGTTAATTTTAAGAATTATCATTCATTAGCTACAGTGAATTGTTAGGTATTCATCCATTAAACTAATACCCTGGTTCTGCAGTGTGTCCAAATAGCATTCATAGGGTTAAAATGTCCAAATTCATTCAGACTAAATCAAAATAAACTTAGACAGCTTGGATAGTAACAGATCACAAAAGCCTCTCTTTCTGTTTGTCAGTTGACATGGAGTAGGTTTAATTTAAAGTGTGAATTTACTAACATTAATCCTAATCTGTTTCTATAAAGTACCTAAAAGAAACAAACTGTTCACTCCACCATATGAATCTGGAGTCGATACCTCCTTTTCAAGCACTCTCTAATAAGCAGGTCACATACAGCAGAATTAGTCTCTGTGTTTAGACTCGCTGAATGGCTGATCAAAGTGTACTCAGGAGATCTAAGTGTGCATTATTAACTGCTGAGCAGTTCTTACATGGTCCAGGTGTCTCCACTCATCAGCCCACTCTCTCTCTGTCAGTCTATGGTCCACTGGCTCCTCGTGGTAGCCACCGTTACTGCCTGATCACAAAACACAGAATTCAGACCTATTAGACCAACCGCATTATATATGACTGATGATCTGACTGGAAGATGAACCTTCTGTTCACAGAAGCTTCTACTGTGTAGAGAGAGAGAGAAGAGGAAGAGAGAGAGAGAGAGAGAGAGAGAGAGAGAGAGAGAGAGAGAGAGAGAATGTAGAGAGAAAAGAAAAAAGAAAAGAGAAAGAGTAGAGAGCGAGAAAAGAGAGAGCACAAGAGAGAGAGAGAGAAGAGAGAAAGAGAGAGGAAAGAAAGAATAGAGAGAGGAGAGAGAATGAGAGAGAGAATGAAGAGAGAAACAATGAAAGGAGAAAAGAGAAGCGAGAGAGAGAGAATGGAGAGAGAGAGAGGAGAGAGAGAGAGAGAGAGAGAGAGAGAGAGAGAGAGAGAGAGATCCTCTGATGAGAAACAGACTGCAAAAGGACCACAACACACACAAACCACATCTGGAACTCAGCTGTCAGAACACACACACACACACACACACACACACACACACACATTCTTTCAGGGAGTCACTCCGGCTGAGAAGAGTAGGCCACTTCTAAACAAAGTGAGACTCTTAACAACACACTCGCACGCGCACACACACACACACACACACACACAGAGGGGCCACCATCAGCGCTGAGATGTTTCTGGGATGTTTTTTGTCCTAACAGAGTTCAAAAGCTCTCAGATGACTCCAGTGAAGGTCGAGTGCAGTGCAGATGGAACTGGCTGGAGCTCAACGCTCAGCACCAAACGTATAAAGTCATGATTTACCTCATGCCTGTGTCACCCTGCTTAAACAACCCACCACTTTACTCTCCTCTCTGCCTCTGCAGTCACTTCGAATGAGGGAGGTTTACTTGGTAGAGTCGCCATTCATCATGAACTGTATGCCAAAATCATTCCTTTCATTCCTTCCACTCATCTTTTCACCCAATAGAGTCACATTATCCACCTACTTCATCTAATGGCATTTCTAAACATTATGGGCTACTCTCAGGGACAGTTTATTCGTGGACTGCTGCTATTATTTGAAATATTAATGACCGTCACGTGTGGTTCAGTTTACCTGGCAAACGTGGTCTATCCTTCAGTTCTCGCAGCTCCAGTATGCGATGCGGCTCTCTGTACAGGTGAGGTGTGGTGATGTCATCCAGAGCGTAGTGCTGGAGAGGGGGCGGAGTCGGGTGAATCTGAGCAGGGAGTGGCAGGGGGTGGGCAGGGCTGTGTCTGGGGGCAGGGCTAATGGTGCAGATCCGTTTGGCTGGAGGCTCCAGAGGGGCAGGTGGTCGCTCGTGGAAGCCGTTTTCTTTGCCTCTGGATGGAGAGGAGAAATAATGAAGGGAAATTGTGATAATACGGCAAAGGATGTCAAGCAATGTTTGGTGTTCTCCCTAATCGTAACCTGTAAACTAATGGTGTGTTCAGACATTTTCTAAACTTGGTAACTAACAGTTCTGCTGCTCATTTACCCCAAAGAAGCTGCATTTGAATAGGTAAAAATTATGAGTGCTAAACGTACGTAATTCCATGTTACTGGAGTTCACATGTTGTGACAACACAGTAGATTTGTCTTTTGTGTAGGACGTTACACATACAGACCTGTGAAGTCATGTTGTCATTCTGTAGTCAGCATCATGCCTACATTAGAAACTCTAAGCAGCTGTCTCAATAGGAAAAATGAATGCTGTTTCCAAAAATCATGAGTATTACACCTTGTGGGTACACAAGTGTTTCAAAGCCAATATATTTGTCCTGTGTACAATTTCACCCTGAAATACCACTGAATTGCAGGGTCATTGAAGTCAAAATATAAATATTGCTATATGCAAGCTTACCTTGCTGTGCATTGAACTGACGCCATAAAACTGGCAACCTCACCAAAATATTCTGGGCAAACCAGCAAGCTTCGCCAAATGTGGCAGTCAGGTTGCTCTGGCAGTAGTAACATATAATTTGAGTAGCTGGTGTGGGTGTATAACAGTGTTAAGATTTAGTAGGATACTTCTTTTAATGCTAAGTCATTTCAATGTAACAGAATATTAGCATGCTTGTAGCATGGATGTAGCAATATTCATAATTAAACCCCTTAATAATCAGCTTTGTAGCACTTGTTCACAACAGAGTGTAAGAAAAATGGCATTCATTCATTTTTCCCCATAGTGAAAACCGGCTAACCCTGCGTTCACACCGGCAGCGACTTTTCGCTTCTTGTCGCCCATATTGCTGGTCGCTCATCACCTGTGGCCGTTCCTGAACTCAAACTGACTGTTGGTTGCCATGGTTTCACTGACACTAAGCACAAATCAGATCCTTTCCTGCTAAACCTAAAAATCCTGGTGAAGAACCACTTGTGTGCTCATTTTTATTTAATCCCTGTGTCTGTGCAGTCAGTATGCACCGCGGCCATTATTCCATCTCTAGTAGGAACAATTATCCAGTAACCATAAAAGGAGCGTACTGTTTCACAGTAGTGGAGATAAAGCACGTACCGAGCTGCTCAATGCTCAGTTCCTATTGGCAATCGCCACATCACTTTGCTCCTTATTTGCATAAACTTAAAGTAAACTGCTCAACTCAACTTTGTCACGCCACTGACTCTGCCCACTTTGTGTTGCCAATGTTTGAGTCCCTAATATGAGCATGAAAAACAATGATCCAACTACAAAATTATGCATGACCTCAGTGGTCTGTTGTTTAGGTCATAAACTTCCCAGCTGCTGGTGACCACTTCATACTGTTATATGTTTGTGTGAGTACCTGTTAGGGCTGTGTCTCTTGCCATTGTCGCTGGGTTCCAGCAGCAGCTCGGTGGAGTCTGCAGGTGAGGGGGCAGCCGTGCTGAGCAGCAGGTGCTCATGCTGGGAGAGATACTGAGCTGGAGTCTGTTTAGCTGCTCGCGCACAGTGCAACAGCTCTCTCTGCAGCAACGGCAAATTGGCCTGTAACACAACACAGGAAAGCTTAGTCAAACTGGTGGACCATCATGAAATTTATCTGTAATTGCTTAATAACTTTATGCAGTTAAATGATGACTGTCAATGATTTAGGCATGCAGTTTTTTTACACTGCGTTAATTGGTGGGATACAAGTTGATATTACTTGTTAGTAACATTAGCCCAGTGGAAAACTAAAGCAGCAAATGGACACCAGACACCTTGGCTGATTGATTACGTTTGAGGTAAGGGGAAAATTGTGTACATTTGTTTGCTCACTATACTATCGCTTTAACATCACTGAAACAGGGAAATGTGTGTGAATTGTTCTTTCAGCTTCTAAATCTGAGATACCAAAGTAGCGTCACATTTTAAAGAGAATGTCACAAAACTGGGAGTTGGCTGAAGTTTTTCCGGATGTGTAATCAGTTTCATCTTTTTCCCCCCCTTATGATTGTTTAGAATGGCTAATCTGAACCAACACACAAGATGGTCCTGAATCAGGACTTTAGATCAATCTCTTGCTTGGAGAAAACCTCAAAGCAGCCTCCATGTCTGGGCCTGTGGCGTCTGGACGCAGCCTTTGATTGATGGGGGGTCTGCTGAGCGTTACAAAACGCTCCACTCGCATTACACTCCCCTCCAGACTGCTGTTGGCACCGATGGCTCCAGACAAAATACGCACTAAATCTGCCATGTGAAAACGCCAGAGTGGAGGGGAGGAGAAAAGCATCGCAGAGTTGTCAGGATGAGACGAAACAGACCCAAAACATTCCTCGTGCTGGAGTGGTATGTGGACCAAGTTATTAGAACAGACATGCTGATTGCTGTGGAGCTGTTTTCTGTCATCGCTGATGCGTCTATTTGATAAAGGAAAACAGAGAAACTACTGTATGTTCAGGCAATTTACTGCATAAATTACCGAGTTCCTGAGTAAATGGTTAATCCAAGTTAATCCACTAACAGTTAACCCTTAGGCATTGAAAAAACAAAGGTGTGGTGTAATTTGGTATTATTGTGGTATATATTATTGGTATTATTTCTTACTCATAGCTCACTGGAACAGAAAAATTGTCAAAAAATTCTAAACTTTCAATCAATGACATTTGCATTTGTAAGCAAGAGATATTTTATTATGATCTGAGTGTACGTAGAACTATTAGTGTGCATACAATTATATTTTCTTAGAAGAGAAATCATGAAGTTTTAGCCATGTTTGTCATGTCTTGACATAATCACAAAAAAGATTAAAGTGAAGACACGATTCTGCTGAAATAGAATGTGAATCCAATATAAATGTCATTTATTATGTAACTAACTAACTTAATTGTGTAATTACATTTGAACAGTATACCAAAATGACTTCAACTTCTAAGGGTTAAAGTTGAGACTGCTTTAACTCTGACCTGGCCTTAACCTAGCCTTGCAAACACCCCTAAGTCAGTTAAACATTTCTAGATGTATTTTCTTTTTTTTCTCCCTTTAATTAAGACCATACTGTGCATAATCACCCTTCACTTCCCCTCTCTCGCTCTCCTGCCACTACACATGCTGCTTGTCATTTAGACAGGATTTTTTTCCAAGGCGGGCCAATGCTCTGGACGCCTGTGTTAATCTAAGCTGGAGTCCATATGTCGCGCAGGCCTATAAAAGGAGCTGGAACGCTTTATAGCTGTGTTTCACACTTCCGAATGCTCTGGATCCGTCTTTGAGTAACGTTCATGGGGACGACAGCAGTCTCAGCAACACATGGACATAAATCAAAGAAACGTGAGATGAAATCTCTCCCCTCTCTCTTTTGCAGACACATGGAACTTCACCAGGACCTTCAACCTACCTCATGGTATCTTAAGCTGAAGCTCAATCTGTAACCATAATGAAGCCAGACACAAATGAAATTGGGCGCAACATCCAAACAAAACTATTCCATTTGAGGAAGCGTTAAGTCCAGTTCTGGAACTAAAGTCTTCTTCGGTTTCCCCCTGAGCGAAAAGCCATTATTCTCAAATCCTTCCCCCTTGCCTAGCTTCATACTGCTGATTAAAAAACGTTCCCTCTGAAATCCCTGACTTCAAATGCTACAAAAGCATCAGCAGCTCCTCGAGTTTTTTTTTATCCACAGGATTAAACGTCTGTTCTCAAGGACTCATTCGGGGCCACTGCTGACAGTTTTCACAAGGTTTTATCTTTAGTCACGCTGAGATATGGAGGACACCAAGTAGAGTGGAGACAGATGGCTTCAAACAATATTATTCAGATTTGGCTTCCAGGACATGGATGCTGTGTGCTTTTCCACTGTCGACAGGCTGCACTCCAGAGCTATGACTTCCAAATGACAGAGAGTGAGGAAAAAAGTATGGAGACACACATACATGGAACACATGGAATGCAGTAAAACTACAGAGCAAATATGAGCAAGAAAGAAAAATGGTTGAAAAAAGAAGACCTGATAGATATTTACCTTTAAAAAAGGGATGACAAATGGCCTCAAGGGGAAATTAGTGGCTTCCTGGAGCCTGGAATGGAACTCCTCAATAGTGACTGTGGAATTCTGTTAGGGAGAATGTCGGAGAAATTACCTGATGCACTTTTCTAAAGTTTAAGAAAGAGAATGTGTTCATTCGCACTCAAAACAAATACACAGTACATACCACTAGGGCCAGGACCAGGCTCCGGACACTCTCTCCGATTTCAGGGGAGATATCGTTGCCGAACTGTTGCAGCGTGGTGAGGAACCGCTTCAGTTTACTAAGCTGCCTGGCACCACATGTGGCTGGAAGCTGCTGATTGGCCAACGAGGAGGAAGAGGAAGAGGATGGTCCATTGCTGTAGCGCTGAGGCGGGGATGGGACAGCATTGAGGGTGGGTGGGGAATGGTTCATCCCATTGGTCACTGCAGAATGAAAAATTGTCATTTAGTCTTGGAAAAACAAACAAACAAACAAATGTTTTAAACATACACCATTGATAATTAGTATAAAATATTATTATTGTTGTTGTTGGATTCAGTATGATACAGTGATGTCTCAGTCCGATCCATATTTCAATACAGCAAATAATGTGCTTTAGGTTAATATGTTAATGTTTCTATGTTGAGTGTATTAAAGCATTAAACATTATCAAAGTACATTTTTTTATAGCTTTATAGGGTCCCAATCTAATTCTCTAGCCACAAACCACTAATTAGGCCCAAGCTAAAATGCTAGCCGCTATGCAACGATAAGATACAGTGTGCTATGATGCAATCAAATACAGAACAATATGTTGTACTGTTACATCCCTATTATTATCACTATTACTATTATTAATATGAGTACTAGTAGTTGTTGTAACAAATATCATTAGTGTTATTTTACAGTAAAACACTTTGGTCAGAACAAAACCATGTCTCGCCATTATGGTAGTGCTTTTTTTTTAACATAATTTGAAAATGCCAGCTGCCATTTACACTATGTCATACATTTTGTGACAAATGCACCAACAGAAACGGTCCAAAATGACATAGAACAAAATCTACATTCAATGTTTTTCCCTTCTCCTGTGAAGTGGTGTCGACAGTGACGCTAAGGAATATAAAAGCTTAAATGTGCTAATTTACCACACTTATAACCTTTTTATAAACCTTTTATTATAAATTGGAACACTACAGAGGCTTTCTTTCTACAAGTTCTTTAAACTCCGGCAGATGTGAGTGTGCTAACAAACTGTGGAACATGCGCAGGTGTGCTCCAGAGAAACTGTGTGCTTAACAACAGATGCGAAACAGGGGAAAGCTGTGTGCCAGCTCTTTAGTATGCTCTGAGTGTCTAACACTCACAGGCTGTTGAAGAGAAGGCAGCAGGCCGGGGCCCGCTGGGGTTGACTGAGGGTAGAGGGGGCATGGCGGACACGGCCGGTCTGGAATGAGTCTTTACATCCACTGGAGAACCGGGCATGGCAAGAACCTTCTTCTCTCCACTGTCTGAAAGAGAAAAGAGAGGGACAATGAGCGATTATTTTGTGTGTTCATTACGTTCAGACTTTAATGTTTCATTGTAAATTCATAATTTTCGTAATTCAAAATTCACCTTTTCCTTGTTATGTAGAGTATGCACTGACAGCAGAAAAAATCATATCTATTCTGATATAAATACCACCAGGGAAAAGATAAAGTTTTATAAGCTCCAGTTTATATCTTATCTAGTAGATATATGCAAATCCCATATCCACCATCAGTCTAGAAAGAACTTTGGGTTGGCCAATATCATGTCATTATTTTCTTGCTTGTTTTTGTGATGTCACTAAAACCAGTGCCTATCCACCTATATAGCCTATAGCAGTTTAGCCCCACCCATTCATACTGAAGTCATAAGAAAAATTAAAGATTTGGCTAAACTTAAATACTGAGACTTATAAAATGATGTAAAGATGCACACATTGCAATGGTATCCTCTTTTGGGAACCACTCATCAAATGAATCCTAATAGAAAACATATTACAAAGAAGGATGGATAGGATAGATTGAGCTCAAAGTCAAGCTAGTCCAAAAGGGGGACATGTCAGCAACATTACTACTGGGCAATCCTCATTTTGTGCTTAAGTAAGCTCACTAGCTGAGCAGATTCTCCAGTTTACTGAGAAATTGTGCTTTGTGAAAAAGCCCAGATCCAAATTCAAGTTAGGCCTTAAAGGAATACTTCATTACACGGTTGCTCATAACACGCTTGCAAATAATGCTGCTATAAAAATAAGTGAAAGCTATGTTTAGTACCTCTTTGCCCTCTTTTTTAGGACCATAGCATAAACAACAAAAAAGTGAGGGTCTTGAGGAACCCCTCTCCCATAGCTGGTGGACACCAGATGTCTTCTGCTCTTTCTTAAGAACCGTGGAGGCCCCACAGCTGAGGTGCAAATGAACCAGGCTTTGTCCTGTCGAAGAATGGACCATCATTGAGCTCTTGGTAAGAAAAGAGCGGCTAGGCTATTTCACGCTCGCTAACTAGCCTTCACAAAAGCCATTGAGGGCTCTGCGCATACTTTCTGCCTTTGAATGGACCACCAGGCTCAGCAGTCGTAGATTAGAAGAACTATTGTTCTAGAAAAGAGCCGTGTGAGGAGCTATCAGCTCCATTCCGAGTATATCAGATGACTGAAAATGCTTTTAGAATAGCCGCTAATAGACAAGCACGGATCGAGCTGTCAGAGGTCATGAAACGCTTCTTATGAGACAACGTTTCAGAGATTGATGGGCTTTTCTTCCTGAAAAGGCCATTTTGTTCAATGTTTATTCATTGGGACTAATGGGGTGAATGCACGTCTATGAGAGGGATCAACCAAGTATGGTTTTAAAAAGAGGACTGTCTGCTTAGCATTGGAGAGTAAAATGATTTTTAATGCAATTGTCAGCTCCTCATCCATACGTTTTAACAAAGATAACTCAATGAATGTTCATGGCATGCATGATTAGAAAAGTTAGGCTGAGTGAATAATAAGGACTAGTCTATTGTAACAAACAAGAGAGAGCAGCCAAATAAAATCGTCTTAACCCAGTGAACTGAACCACCACAGACACAGGTGTGACACATATTTAAACACATACATGCTCTGCCCAGAGTCCGCAAGGCAAAACACTTCACACCTGAGCCCTGCTTTCAGTCCTTCAAACTGTCTCACAGTTCCTAAGGCTGTCCATCTTAATGCCTGACTGGAAATAGTGTTTTTATTTTTTCTTTCATTTGCCCACCTGTCTTCTTCCCAGGAGGCAGGAAGGAAAGAAAGGAAGAAGGAGAGAGAGAGAGAGAGAGAGAGAGAGAGAGAGAGAGAGAGAGAGAGAGAGAGAGAGAGAGAGAGAACACGAGTGAAAGGGATTGAGAGTGTGGATGCCAAGTGGTTTGGTTATGTGCCACACCATGGGACACATATGCACCCTCCCTTTCTCCTCATTCTGTTGCAAGAAATCTCCAGAACCTCAAATGCACTGTAATAGATGGTCTATACGCTATTCCAGGGGTGCCCAAACTTTTCGTCATTAAGGTGTGCGAAGTGTACGACAAAACAGTATACATACATACTGAAGGTAGGTAGGTTTCAAGTATTTAAAAATGTAAAAACATTTTACAATATTACACTGTCTTGTTACCAAAATACTCGAAAAACAAAATTTTGATATAAATATATAATATATATATATAAAATTGTGTTTTTCAAGAACACACACAGACATACACATACTGGTGGGTCCAATCAGATATCCTCACGGGCTACTTTTGGGCAGCCCTGCACTATTTGTACATGCCATAGCAAAATTTATAGGAATAACTTATCATCGCTATTGGATCAAAAAATGATAACTGTACAGGACAAGGTTAAAACACACTTTACTTTTAATGTACATCAGTGGAACCAGACTTTTTTCCCCCAAGTATCTACGTTGATCCATTCATCATGGAATTTACACACAATGTAAGGGGCAACAGGTATTTGCAATTTATGTCAAAAACTGAGAAACGACAAAAGCAGAAATACAAGATTTTGCTCAGACAGCAGCGTTACACTACTTTAGTTCACTTTACTTTCTACTAGGGACGCATAATCATATCAGAATCATGTCGGTTTCGGCAGATAATTGCTTAACAAATTTGATAATATTTGATGACACTTACTGAACTTCAGCAAAGCAGAATGTTTAAGTGGAACTGGGCTACTGCACTAAAATGTCTGCATTTTATTCTTTTTGCTGTGTTTGTAACTCTACAGAAACAAATGTTATATTTCTCTGAAATGCTAATTTACTCTCTATATTTTAGAAGTGCTTATGTACCAAAATAGGCAGAAATGTGTATAAAAAAAGATCAGATATCATCATTGGCCCACAATTCTTCTTGGTGTCTTTCAGAATAAGTCTGAAAGTCGCCCAGCAGGAAACATCTTTGCTGTGCACCTGAGACTGCCACATTTGGGAGACGAGCATGCTATGTTAAACACACATACATCCACGCACACACACACACACACACACACACAGATGAGGAGCAGCTGGGTTATGGGTCCATCAGGGCAGTGAGGTGTGCTGAACAACAGGCAGGAACACAGACTGCTGTTAACACAGTCTAGCTTTATCTGCTCCGGCTCAATATTGATTCAACAACAACAAACAGAGAAAAGTACAGCTTTCCCTGAACACCAACTGTTCCTCTACTGCGTATAAGAACACTCATTACTGTATGAGAGAGAGAGAGAGAGAGAGAGAGAGAGAGAGAGAGAGAGAGAGAGAGAGAGAGGGGGAGGAATTAGAAAGAAAAGAACAGAAAAAGAAGAAAGAAAAAAGAGCAATAGAGAAAAGAACAGAGCAGCTGAGATGCAGTAACAGAGACAGAGACAGAAAGCAAGAGAGAGCAATGGAAGTTTAAGAAAGAGATATGAGACAGAGAGATAAGAAAAGAGAAAAAAGACAGAAAAAAGATAAAGAGAAAGAAAAACAGAAAAGAATAGAAAAAGAAGAGGAAGAAAGAGACAGAGAAGGAAAAAGAACAGAAAACAAGAAGAAAGTTAAATAAAGAGAGGGAGGCAGAGCAAGACAGCAAGAGAAAAGAAAGAGAAAGAGAAATATAAAGAAGAGAAGGATAACACAAACATAGAAGTAAAGAAAGTGACAGAAAAGAGAGAGAGAGAAAAAGAGGGCCTGCATTATTTTGACTGAAAGTATGCGATACGCTATTGTTGAGCATCATTTGCACATCGCAGCCTTCTGCAGTATCGGTGTCGGCTCTAGTGTGTTGTGTGTGCTGTGAAATACATGAAGACTGTGGAGCGATGATGCAAACGCAGCTGAAATGAAAATGCTCCACATTAGAGAGCTTTAAGCGAGACCGCGGCCAGAACACTCAGGTTTGTAGAGCAGGACTTTTATAGGCGCAGGTGTGCACTTTTGTTATGCAAACCAACAGGCCTGCTTTCACCTGTCTTTTGTTATTTAAATCTGCTTGTTTAGCTTCGTCAGTGCTCTGGGGGAGGATGAGCCCACAGGCACATCTGCACATCAGGTCATGAATTGCAAAGTTATAGTGACTATTAATGCACACAGAAACACTTTCAGAGTTTTCCAGATGACGTGTGATGACCTCAAACCAAAATAAATTCCTGCCCTCACATGTCCTTATTACAATCAAAGTTTTTAATGATAATTATTTTTAATTATTATAATCACAATCACATCACATACCGTCACTGCTGGAATGAAACCTGCTATCTCCAAAATGGTAACTTTATAGGATGAGGAAAAAACACACTTTTAAATGCCTCATATTATGGAAAAAGTTACTTTTTTTTTTTAAATAAAAGAGTGTGATGTATTGAACATGCCATTCTCTCCTCATTTACATATACATGCCCCTATTCAGCCTACAGCAGTTTAGCCCTGTCCATTTACATAGACGTTATAGGGAGTGAGTGCATTTTTACAAAAGATATTATAAAATACAAGACACCCAATCAAAGCAAAGGTCATTTACATATTTCAGTCTTAAAGGTGCAGTGCCACAAATAGTCCGTTTAATTCTAAGGCATACAGAGTGGTTACAAAATGAACGAAGGCTGATTTTGGTACATAATACTGCTTAAATATGGATCTCTGGGAAAAAAAACAAAATACAAGAAAAATGTAAGATACGGGCCCTTTAAGATGAGTTTATATAATGAGATTTAAGACATTTGGGGTAATTGCTGAGACAAGGTATTGCTCCAACAGCAACAACAACTTTAGGCTATTAAAGAATCTCCACATTTCAACAAAAATGCCCAAAACTCATTTGCCCACAACTCACTGAAAGCAGGTGCCTTTTTCTCCAAACCAGCTATCAAAGCTCAATGGGACATAAAAGCACAGGCTCCCAGTGCACTGCCGAGCGTAACCAAGTCCATCAGCATGAATAAGTGAATGAATAAGTATAGATATTTACTCCCCCTGACACTGGCTAAAGAGCTTAACATTGGCACAACTCGCACAAAGAGCTTATTTAAAAAGGCCCGCTCCGCCTTTGTTTAAAATGATATACGAATTTCCATTAAAAGCACTTGAGCGCTTCCAGACTGGAAAATCATTTAAACACACGACGACAAAAGAGTGAAAAGCCTCGTACCGCCTCCGGGCACCCAGCACACACACAAACCCCACATTGGGGGTGGGGAGGGGGGTTTAAAACAGAGCCACTGATACAAAGGGGTTAAGCTATCACTTCTTTAGGAGAGTGAGTGTGTTCTGCCCATCCCCCCCTTTCTCCTGCATTGCTACCATATGGACCTAATGGGGCAGCATGCTGGCAGCTGGAGCCTCCAACAGTCACCTGTGTCCCAGCAGAAGGAGGGAGGGAGGGAAGGGGGAGAGAGAGAAGGAGAGAGGAAGAGAGTGAGAGAGGGAAAGAGAGAGACAAAGGCGAGGAAAACAAAGGCTGCACCTGGTGCCTGTCAGTCCACACACACACTGACAATGCACACACATCTGTTCTCTCCAGCAATGTTGGCGGCCATGTATGTGTGTGAGCTCTGCAACAGGTTGCAGCCTCTCTCTCTCTCTCCTCTCTGTATTGTACACAACTAGTTTGGACTTACAAATTACACCAAAGCACAGTCCCTCTTGACCCCCCCTCTTATCAACATTATTCAAATGACCTTTATCTATAGCCTGTAAATGCTCAGGGCTTCATCAAGCTCTTCTATAACAAATCACAAGAGCAATCTGCATGGCATTCTAATAGCAGCTGATTTCTATAGAAACACTGACACCGTTTCTGTTGCGTGTGCACTTATGACCCCACTACGGTCCCCATACAAACAGCAGTAAGCAATTACAAGCAGAAACAAACAGTGGTGATATGGCAAAAATGTGACACTACAATACTTCAAGACAGTTTCAGAATATGCATCACCATATTTCATTTTTGTAAGATTTAAAGTGTCAGAAAAGATGAAAAGGCACTGGTAGTGCCACACTGAAAAATCAAATAAATAAGGATGCACTGATATGGGATATATTCTACTGATATTCTTTATGTCTATATCTACTGATGCATATACATAAACATTTTTAAAATTTAGAAATTGGCTCTACATCTATCTGGATTAGCATTACAGAAAAATATCACATAAAGGCCTAAAAATAAGCAAAACGAATAAAATTGTGCAGTAGCCGAGCACTGCCTCAATGTCCTGCTCTACAGAATATCCGCAATATGCTCAGAAAATAATATCACCATATTGCCCACCCTTGTTTCCAAACACTTCACCTGCTAACGAAAGAACAACTAAATTCACTTTGACTGAAATTTAAAATTACAAATTAAATTCTATACTACTTTAATATGCAAAACAAAGTTTGCAATTTTGTGTTCAAACTGGTCATATTGCCCACCCATAGCTGAAACAGAGGAATAACAAAGAAATATGGTTAGATTTCAGTGCAGACATAGCATTACTTAGCTGCAGTATTACATGAGTGAATAGTGTCACAAATATGGTAATACAAACATCTATTTGTGTGCGATGTGTAAAAGTACATAAGTAACATTCAGTACAGGCTAAAGCCCAGGACTAGTTTATCTCTCCACTGGATCAGTGTCGTCTCTCTAAGTGACTGGCTCTCTCATCAGTCACTCGGTGGCTCTGACAGATACTAAATAAGACACAGACCAACACATACCATTTAATTAAGCCTTTGTTCGCCTATATATCTCATATGTACATATTCACATACTCTTCTTTTGCTCTTACTTATCATTTGGCTCATTTTATAACTATTTTCTGTTCAAAATTGCTACATAGAACTATTACATAGAACCATTTCTATATTTTATTCTATTTAATTTTATTTTCCCCTTATTCATTATGGCATTTTCGCTTGATTATTTGTCTGTGACCATGTTACATTTACCAAGAAAAATACCTCAGAACCCCCCGCCTCTGTTTTATAGCTAGAGTTGTCTGTTTACCAGGTGTCCTCAGTTCGCTATTCACGACAGAAAAACGTGCGTGTGCTTGAGTAATTCAAGACCAGGTGTGAAACATGCCATTGGCTCTATGATGTCAATCTTCTCATGTGACAGTCATTGTGGACACATATTTGATCTTTGACATGGCCAAATTCAGCTGAGAAACACAACCTATAAATCTCCTAATTTGGAGAAAAATTCTCTTCATTCTTGAAGAGAATTCCACCCTTTTCATACAAATCCACTCCATGCATGTGTCCTCTGTCCCAAGCAGATATAACTGACTAATAAGCACTTATTCATGTTAATGGATACGCAAAAACTCAAGACAGTCCTATAAAAGAGGGATGGCTTCATTGGCTCCTTCACACAGTGCCTGTGAACGTGAGGTCAAGCCCTGGTCCTCTCGGTCTAATTGTGGGGCCCAGGAGAAGATTAACTGACTGTGGTGTTCCCAGGGGTCTCTGGTGGATGATGTGGGTTAGACTGTGGTTTGGGGTCAGTGATCACACCACTATGGCTACTGGGCGTGGCTATTTGAATATATGGACATTAAAACTCATCTTAGTATTAATTTACTTAAACGAGTATTCAGATCAGCATAAAATATTAAGTTTTGTACATGTTGTAATTTTTAAATACGTTTTTACTGAACGTGTGAAGAATCGCAGAGAATGTAAGCTGATGTCTCATGTCCAATAAACTTAAATATTTCAATATATGAAATGTCTTGTTCCAGAATACATTGAAGACCACTCTCAGGAATTTTCTTTTTTACCATATACATTATTGTGAATTAAAATATCAATGCTGTATTGAGAATAATACTACCTTTTTTAGAAAAATATCATGTCAGCCGTTGTTCTTTTAAAATGCTGGATATACAGCATTTTGGAATGAAACTTCATATTCTGTAGGTCAACTAATAGTATGTTAAATCACATACACCTAAAATAAAACCCAGTGATGAGGTATGGTCCACCTCTTATTCTAGCTACACTAAATACAATGTTTAACATGCCATGTTTTCATTTTTTATCAATTCCTACTGGGCTACTTGAAAACCACTGGCATCCCAGTTCAGATATTCTAATAGCAAAAACTGTTAAAAGGCCCATCCCTATAACACAGAGAATATGTCCGATGCCCCTTTAAACCCTGCTGACCCAGAGAGGACCAGGGCCATTATGGCGAGTCGAGGGAGTGACCGGGACAATGGCCTTATTGAGCGCCGCACACACACACGCATCATAAAGCGGCTGTTTCAGAGCTAATCGGTTGGATCAATAGCTGTTCTGATGACACAACAACAGTTATCGCAGCTCCAGCTCGCACAACTAATCCGGTACTTCCTGCTGGCTATGCTGGTCAACAGCTGCCCCATGTGTGTTTGTGTCCACATGTGCCTCAAAGAGAGAATTATTAATATATTTCTCTCAGGAAAATACAGATCTCAGTTTCAGCTTGATGTCATAAGCTTTAGAGAATGTGCTTTATGTAAACTGTAAAACTGAAGAATGCAAGAAAACATGGTCAAAATATCTGGATCTTCTTTTCTCTCTCTCTCTCTCATGGAAGGCTAATAAATGGTGGCTGTCCATTATACACAGTCCAAACCTCTGTAAATTTACAGCAAAGCAGACAGCCAGTCTGCAGGGAAAATAACACACGCGCACACACACACACACAACACGGCTGTCAGTCTGACAGTATGCAGCGTGTTCTGGTATATGTCTGTCAAGGCTTGCCTGGAGATTGTGTTTGCTAAGATTACGCAGGCCTGCAGTGACAAGCAGTCTGCAACAAACGCAGCCCTGAGCGCTTTTCCAGCTCAATGCAGCACCACTTCCAGCAAAAGTCTGTGAAAATTTGACGTTACTAAACACTACAGCTACAGGAAATGCTTGGAATTGGTTCTTGTGGTCCTAGTGCAATAAATCAGATAAATAAATTTGTTGCTGTAATAATAATGTATTACATATTCTGTAATATTACATCTTACGTCTATGCTGTTTTTGCATTACATGGCATCTGCATGGATTCTGATGGGGCCAAATACAGTTTTCCTGCCCTGGTTGGTTGTATTCAATTCCTTTCACTTGAAATCCAATCCACTCCATCCTGTTCCATCTCAATCCAGTCATCAAATATATCTGTGTGGGCATTTTAATCACTTTTGCTAATGGAATATTCATACTGTTAAACGAAAATGATGACAAATTTCCCAAGACGAAACTATTTTAAATTGTTAAGGATCAAAAAACAAACACTGTTTATTTAGCATAGCATAATAGGTGGTCCATTCTATGTCATCCCATTCCATCGACTCTGCAGGGCATCTTACCACAATCCCACTTTCACTTAAGAGTTGCTACATGCTCACTTTGATACTTCGAGACACCATAGCTTGTGAAATGCATTCAGAACATTAACTGCTTTTATTTAGTCACAAGGTAAGTAACACAGAGCTCTGGTTAGTGTGATAGAGAGATGCTTGACCAGATGGATACAGGGAAGAAGGGTCGGTGGTAAAGAAAAATCTCTCACTCTTAGACTTCCTCAGCATGGCATTCTTCTGTGCTGGTTTCAAGCACGTGCCACGTGGATTATCAAACATTAAGAGCCTCTACACAAACGGTCAGAAACCCACACAACAACACATTCAGTCAAAAATACCAGCATGACAGATAAAACATGAGTCTGAGTAAACATTATAAAAGCCCCTACAGAAAGAAGTAAATCAGTGTTTAAATGTAATCACAATGAAGCCAACATTTACTGCATTCAGATGTAATCAAAGCAGGCTATTCTGACAGAAGGCTGTTGTGATATAGGAATGACTACAATTTAGCACCATGGAAGCAACATAAACATCAGCCTTTCTCATTTTCCTCAGCGCTTACAGAGAAAGACATTAAAAACACACAAGGCTTTTGGGTTTAGTTTAAAAGTAAAAATGTATAAATAAAAGCCAAAGACACATTGCACACCTCACCTCACCTCCTCTATAGGATAGTCCGCTTTGCTTTCTGCCTTATTCCAAAAAAAAACAAAAAAAAAAACGAGCGAGTCCTACACACTGGGGTCGTTTTAAGGCTCCTTTTTTCCCCTCGTGCCCTCGTTCCTCTCCTTCATATGTGGGGCATGTGTGTGTAAGCCCCCCGCATATGTGAGCCGAGTTCCTCTCACAGCCGGAGAAACACAGATGGAGCCCAGATGGTTGAGGAGATCCAGCAAGACTTCTTTATTTCTGTCTCTCTCTCTCTCTTTCAGCTTCTAGCTCTCTCCATTCCCGTCCCTCTGTCCCACTGCTCTCTCGCCCTTTCTCTCCTCTCTTAATGATCTCAGTTGCTCTCTCGCACACAAAAACACAAACACACAGACACAGACTCTTTCCCCCCTCTTTCACGGTGCTCACTCAGAGAGTGTCTCCTGCTGGGATAGTGACACGCCCACTTAGTGGCTCCTGGCCAATCAGCTGATAATCTATTTAATGTCTTTAGTGAGGCGGGCTGGGTGATTAACATAACTAATTGTTCTGGCACTAAAAGGTCAAACAAAGTATGTGCCAGTTGCAGGGAGAAGGGGAGGGAGGAGGAAAAAAGACCCAAATAATAAGAGCCGATTCATTAGAGTGCACTGATTTCTATTACTGAATTTTATTGTTTAACCCTTTAAAATGCAAGAGTTTGTATGCAGGCCTACACTTCAATCTTATAACATTTAGTAGCCTTTGTTAGTAATTTCATTATACTGAATAATACTCAGTTACTAATTTATTTATTTATTAAAATGTATTTTTAATCAAAATCCAGCAATTTCAGGGGTTAGAAGGTTTAGAAAGAATATGAAAATTCCATTGTGCTGTTTTCACATACGTCACCTTATGAAATGAATGAAATACAAACTGCAATCTATTCAACTTAAGTCAAAATAGTTCACTATTTTTTTTTAAAATACTATAAAAATAGGCCGACAATGATTTGTTTATTCAACATTTTTCCACTGTGTAGCAGTAAATCCAATCAAAATGACTAATTTTGCTCATTTCCTACTGAAACATGAAGTTGGTCAGCATTCTTTAAAGGAGAATTCCACAGATTTTTCAAAATGTCCGTGTGATTCAGTTGTTGGGATGTAAACAAAGCCATTCAGAGAGGTTTCATGCGAAATAGGGCACTTACAGACTCAGATTTCTTTACAACGGTGGCAACAGGAACTAGGGATGGCAATATCTATGATGCCAACACATTCTTTCGGGACTATTTTGCCTTCCAAAAGCATGTACCTCTCCACCACGATTAGAGTAATGGAGTAAAAGATCAGTGGAATTCCCCTTTACGTACTGATGATATCCAAACTGTGGTCAGCAAGAGAAATAAACACAGTCAGACAGGATGTATCAAAGAGAAACAGACCACACGGTGCTGGATGTCTCCCTTGATGAGGTGCAAACTAACCGCTAAACACTGCAAGTGCACTCAGCATCTGTGAACCTCCTTAATGACTTTCTGACGGATACACACCTTCAATGACGTACTACTGTATGAGGGTGAGTGTGTGTGTGTGTGTGTGTGTGCTACTTTAGAGCCACTGCTCTGTTTCGCCAGGTGCATATCTCTATTTCAGCAGGTGCAGAGAGTGTGCTTGGTTGATGATTAAGAGAGCTGGAGTAATCAGAAAGAGATCATCTGCCCGAGTTCACACGCTCCCTCTCTGTCCCCATCTACTTTTAACCAATCAAACAAAGTAAAGAACAACAGCTAGAGAGAGATGGAGAGAGAGAGAGAGAAAAAGAGAGAGAGAGAAATGTACCACAATCCTTTATTCATAAATTGAACTCTATTCCACCACAACCATTTTAGGATGCATGTGTGTGTGCACAATATCCGTGGAAACAGCTGTGCAGCTGATCTTCACACAGCTGCACATGGGAAGTGCTTCTCTTCCCAGGCTGAGACGAGCCATGATGAAACTGACCCACACACGGAACAGCACATACTCCCATGTGTATTACTTTGTGGTATTTTTTTTTCTTGCGCAGTTCTACATACTTGATTACTCATAACTCTCTCAATTCACTGCTGCACAGTCCCAAAAATCACATGACTACCTCAGGTTATATCAAACATAAATATTCACATTGCACATTGCATTCAAGCACAAACTGTTTAAAGGGGAATTCCATTAATTGTTCTGCATAATTCAAGCAATGAGTTGTAAACAAAGTCATTCCGAGTGTTTTAATGTGAAATGGTTAATTGTAGTGAAACTTACAGACTCAGATTTCTCTACAGAGGTGGTGACAGGAACCAAGAATCATGTCTACAACACAAATATGAACATATTACTGTCCAAAATAAGCAGTGAACTCTTTTGAGCCTTTTTATGCAATGATGAGTACAATAGTCAATAAATCAGAAAAAAAGTTTTTTTGGTACTATTTTGCCTTACCACACCCTACAGGTACTTTTTTTTACCTTGAATTGACAAAAAGATTAGGCCAGAAACTTCCCCAAACTAGCAAAACTGCATATTTGTGTGATTACTTTTAGAAGTATTGTATTTTGACATCTATTTCCCACCACTGTGAACAATTCTGACTCTCTGATTCTCTAGAACAGTTCAATCAAACCAAATTCAAATAAATACAAATCTGTATAGATCTTACTGTTTTAATTATGCAGAAACATAAAAACAACAGTGGAATTTCTCTATAAGTGTCTTATAAATACTGTAAATTTTTATAACTATTGAATTTGAGATATGTAATCAAGCATCTGTCGATCCATCCATCATCTGTCCATCCATCAATCAATCCAACTCATCAAATCACATCTGAGATATCAAACAAGTCTGGGCTACCTCAGCACAAACAGGATTCACACAGATGAGGGAAGCAACCCTTGCTCAGTGAATCAGGGTCAGTGCCCATAGCCCTGAGTTAATCGGAATTTACACCCACTAACCTCATTTACAGGTTAATAAAGAGACACAGGCCTCAACCCACAGAAGCTCAAGACCCATGGCAAAGGAGTAATGTTAACTTCTACTGCTGCATCACTGTTCTCATATTAACACTGGGCTTTGCGGCTTCTGTTATGTGGTAACTGACCTACTTCACTCCAAGTTTGATGATGGAACAACTAATTCTGCTATATTGACTTGATGTTTTACCAAACAGGATTGCATTCATTTCTTTTTTTGCTCCTATTTGCGATCCTTTTTTCTACTGCCATCAGCCCGATACAGATACCTGCTATCAATTCTTTGCAATCTGTAGCCTGCTTCGTAGCATGTGTTTAAGTTAAAAAAAGAAAAAGAGAAGCAGTTCATTTTGTGCTCAGGTTGCCATAGGTAGGATGACTCAGGTTTCTCAGGGTGGATCGGCAAAACATGCAGTGGAATCTCCAGCCAAAACAAAGCCATCTTTGTTTATTTTTGCAGACTTCAACACGATCATCATTCAGCCTGCAGCTCATTTTCATCTGCGCTCCTCTGCACAGCAGGCCTGATTATTGGTACATACACTGGGGAGGCGGACAGTCAATTCCAATGTGAGTGAGTGCTGAGGCACATCATGGTTTTATTTAGGATGTTGGTTAACACAAAAGAGTCTCTCAAAAAGAGCTCGATTTCAAGCCCAGTTAAGACTGTAGAGCCTTAGCGACTCTGACTTGAAACTGAGAGCGAAAGCTTAGAAATATGCACTGGATTCCATTCAAAAATGATAAACATGTTGTCTACATATCAGCAGAGCAGGAGAAAATTCCCTTTTATAGAATGAGTGTTGGCCATTTAGTACGCATTTATAGAATACTTGGAGAAGGTGCTACAGACTTTCATGCACAATAGAGAAAAACAAGCAAAGGTAGACAGACATTCCAGTTTTACCTATCCAAAACCTCTATCCTCCCTGCCAAAATAACCTCTTTCCAACCACATACTCCCCCCCCATCTCTCTCTCTCTCTCTCTCTGGGTTTGGAGTGGCATTCCTTCTCTCTGCTCTCGGCTCCAGTATGTCTGGCCATGCTGCACGCCTGGGAGCCATTAGTTTAAGTAAAGCCCGACGCACCCTGCCCACCCCCACCACACACACACACACACACACACACACACACACACACACACACACACACACACAGAGACAGAAGTTATGTGTGGAAGGAACGTGTTTGTGTTGTATGACTGTGTGTATGAGAATGATTTCAGACAGAAAGAATATGCAGTGACTTGTGTGACTGTGTGTTGTGTTTAAGTTTGGCTGAGATAAATACAGTACTGTGCAAAAGTCAGAGACCACCCTTCATTTATTTAATGTCCAGTCAAAGCCATTAAGCACAAGTTATTCATTTTCTTGCATCATTATCAAAAGCAGAAAACATATATTTACCAGGAAATTACACAGGAGCCTCAACAACTAAATATAATATCAACTTTTTGTGTATTTAGTGTCCACCCTTTACCTTTATTACAGCTACCATAACTATAATTCATGAGACTTGTTTTCATTTCTTTAAAAATACAGGGATATTTTCCCGCACCTCCAAAGTTCAGTCTTAGAAGTTAGTTTCTCACAATCCGAGTAATCCCTAACATTCAACGATGTTGAGGTCTGGGCTCTCTGAGCACCAGCAGCCTCTTTGTTTGATTTGCAAATGTTCTTCTTTTTGTCTATTTCCTCTTCTCAGTGAAGGCTTCTTGATACATCTACACATCTTTTTCTGATGGGGACAGCCATGGTGGTCTACCAGGTCTTACATGGTTATTGACTATTCTCTATTTCTTTTAATAATGTTTGAATTTTTTGTTCTTCCTCTTCCATAAGTGGATCATCTAGTATCTAATCTCAGAAAGATCTCTTGAAAAATAATAATTTGTACATAACTACAAGTTTATGTATAGTATATAAATCAATGAAAAGTGGTCTCTGACTTTTACACAGTATTTACACATGGGTGTACAGGCGTGTGTGTGTGTGTGTGTGTTTTAGGGAGTTGTGCATGAGTCTGCACTTAAAATTTGAGAGGTGGGTCACAAGCTCACTTGGCTGCATCATCCCAAAGTTTCCACAGCCTGCAGCCAAGAGCACAGACGGAGCATGCATGCGTGCACACACACACACACACACACACACACACACACACACACACACTTTCCTGTCACACTGTCTTAATTACTACCAAATAATAAGCCCTTTCTCACTCTTACAATAAACACATTTTGCTTTTCTTAATGATTTTGCTGCTTTGCGCTGTTTGTCCCTCGTTGCCAACTGTACCTCTCAGATCATTCATCTCAGCAGAGCTCATAAACCAGCTGAGCTGTGAGGGAAAAGCCAACAGTAATACAGGGTGGGCAGAGTCAGTAATACATATTTATTACTGTAGTTCAAGGGACAAAATAGTTACATCAAATTTTAATATTAAATAATAATTTATTACTGAAACCGCATCATGTCATTCATGTTCCGCATTTACTATAATCATCTAACTGTAAAATGAAATCTTGCAAAGCATTAGGATAAAAGAAACACATTACTATTTTTATACAGGGCAACAAACAATAGAAAAATGT